GAAATGCCAGATTCTTCACTATTTTCACTCCAGCACCCTCCGATAAGCTCCTTACAAACTGGATCTTCCGCCCAACTAGCCTCAAACCGAAATAATTTATTCCTTTTACCAGGGGATGGGGAATTGTCAATAATCAGGGGGACATGATCCGATCCCACTCTTAAGCCATGCAAAATTTGAGTATTAGGCCAACGGAGCACCCAATCAGCGTTACCCAAGGAACGATCCAATCTTTCTCTAACAACAACATTATCAGTACACTTCTTCTCCCAAGTAAAGCATTGCCCGCTGAAGCCCAAGTCAATCAACGAGTTAGATTCCATAAACTCTAGAAGATATCGACGTCTTCTAGGATTCCAAGGGGCACCAACCTCTTTTTCAAAATTCCATAACACTTCATTCATATCGCCACTGACAAACCATGGCATTTGTTCCCCCTTATCCCACTCAAGAATACTCTCCCAGAAAGAGGTCTTCTCCATATTATATGGAGTGCCATACAACCAAGTGAATCTTCCAGAGATATGATCTGTGTCAGATTTTACACAAGTATCAATCCAATTTTTGCTCCAGTCAAGTATTTCCACTTCCACCCAAGGTTTCCACCACAAACAAAGCCCTCCAGCAGTCCCTACCGGATCAACAACAAAACTTTTACAAAAACATTGATTCCGTGTGGCTGTTGAAGGCCAGCCACCACGACCTTGGAGCCTATTTTGCTCCTCCGGATTCAGCTTGCTTAATCGTCTTTCAGCTTCTTCCATCTCTTTGGAGGGGCTAACAACCACATCTCGCAGATTTGTTTCCCTTGTGTTACATATTTGGCGTTGGTCGACATTTCCTCCTCGAGCTTTGACTTTTCCTCCTCTATTTTTCTGATGAGTAATGTACCCTCCTCTATTTGAGAACCGTAGAGAAACACCAGGATTAGGGCTCAAATTTAACTTGGCCTTTTTAACTGATGAAATGGGTCTTCCTTCACCCATGAGTTTCTTTTTTCCTTTTCTCACAATTTCCTGATAAACTTGGTCATCTTCAAGTGGGCCAGTTTCCTCCAAGTCACCCACCACCTCAATACAAGGCTTATTGACTAGGGGAGAGGGGTCAATATGGGCTTGGAAGTTGGGCTCCCCCTGAGAATCCAAAAGTGCTACACAAGCGCCCCTATTCAAAGCCCATGGAGGAATAGTGTCTGGGTCACACCAATTTTGATTAAGAGAGAGCCCCCATATGGCAAGTCTAAGAGATCCGTTTCTGTAGTGGGTACCAACGCTTTCCAGGTCCCACATTCTTAAAACTCTTGATTTTATCACTCCATTCATAGGATTAGCAGCATTGTCAATCCCAGGAAGCACAGCGAGCCTTTCTTCTTGGGTGGGTCACGATTGCTGTCAATGGGAAGGGATTTCATGCACCAACCGCACCGGTCATGTGGCGAAGGTGGACCTCCGGAATCCATATCGATGTCTATATCGTGGGCGTCATGACGAAGAGTGGGACGAGTTGGCTTATAACCAATTTTCCTTGGGGGGTAAGATAAATCCTTCTTTGCTTATCTTAAAATATTTAAATTATCTTGATCTTAGCTACAATGATTTTGATGGGATTCACATCCTTGAGTTCTTTGGGGAGCTTCAAAGTCTAAGGTATCTCAATATTTCCTCCGCATCATTTTCAGGAGAGATTCCGCCTTCTCTCGGTAACTTATCAAAATTGAACTATCTTGATCTTGACTGCTCTTTGTCGTCCTTATTCGAAATGCTTTCCAAAAGCTTGAATTGGCTTTCTCATCTCTCTTCCCTAAAATACCTCAATCTCAATGGAGTGAATCTTAACAGCATAGGAGTTCCAAATTGGCTGCATCATGTTAACATGCTTCCTTCCTTACTGGAGTTACACTTATCTAATAGCATGATTGAAAGCCTTCCACTATCAGTACAGAAGATTAACTTCACCTCACTTTCGGTCCTTGATCTGTCATATAATTTCTTCAATACTTCTTCATTTCCCAGTTGGCTTTTCAATCTTACCAGCCTCAGAAAACTTGATTTAGGCAAGTCTTCTTTCGGTGGTCCTTTTCCCGATGAACTTGCAAGCCTTAAATCTCTGGAATACCTAGATTTAAGTGATTTGGACCTCAAAGGTCGAATTGCCAGAGTCATTGGAAATATGTGCAAATTGAAGTTTTTAAGTCTTGGGAACACATTTGATGATTTTGGGAACAAATTTTATGGTGAGAAAATTGAAGAGATTTGGAGTAGTTGGTCAAATTGTCCAAATAATACAATGGCATTAGAATCACTAGATTTTTCTGACTGTGGGCTCGAAGGCCAACTGCCGGCCTCCTTAGGAATGTTAACAAGTTTGCAGCATCTACACCTTTCGAGCCTCTTACTTTGGGGTTCAATTCCAGAATCTATTGGAAACTTGTCAAAAGTTTGGGCAATTTGAACAGCTCCATTCCAAAAGTTTGGGAAAACTCTCCCAGCTAGTTGAACTAGATCTATCAAATAATTCATGGGAAGGCATTCTAACGGAAGCCCATTTCATAAATCTCACCAGTTTAAAAGATATTTCAATATTAAATTCTTATAGAGAGATGCCCGTGTCTCTCCTTTTAAACGTGGCTTATGATTGGGTTCCTCCTTTCAAGCTCCACACGCTTCACATTGGAGGCTGTAGAGTAGGTCATGGTTTTTGGGCATTGATTCAATCTCAGACTGAACTAGTCTATATCAGCCTTTATAATACTTTCATCTCAGATTCCATAGAGAAATGGTTGTCGAAGATATCTTCCAAAGTCAAATATTTGGATTTATCTTACAACAACTTCAGTGGAAGGCTTCCATTACAATTGAAGTTTCCAAAACTACAGATTATCAGATTGGGTCATAATCAATTGGAAGGCCCACTTCCACTTTGGCCCACTAATGTCAATATCCTTGATCTTCAAAGCAATTCATTTTCCGGGCCAATTCCCTCCAATTTAGACCAATTGATGCAAGAATTGAATTCGCTGGATGTTTCTGAGAATAATTTGAATAGTACTATTCCACTCTCTATTTGCAACATGCAGAATATGGCAAGAATTTCGCTAAGCATTAATCAGCTATTTGGAGAGTTCCCTCAACGGTGGAGTTTGTGGAGCGTGATACAACTTATTGATGTTTCCTACAACAATCTTTCTGGTACTATTCTGAATTCAATGGGTATCCCATTTTCTCTTATGGTATTTAAGGCGAATAATAATAATTTTAGTGGTGAGATTCTGCTTTTCTTTCAAAATTGCACTTCTTTGGTCTTACTTAATCTTGGAGGCAACAAATTCACTGGAAACCTACCTTTATGGATTGGATCAGACCTACCTGCCTTGGAAGTGTTACAATTGCAATCCAACCTTTTAAGCGGGCATATCACCCCCCCCCCCCCCCCCC